TACACATCTTTTAAATACATCCATGGACGGTGACTCAGACACTTCCTTGGTTGCCTCAGCTTTGACAATCCTTTGACAGTACAGTGCTACCCACAGATACAAAGGTGCAAGGTGTCTGGGGCTATCAAGATTTATAATATACACATATACACAAAAACATGCACACATACATACTGAGTTCACGTGAACAGATTTAAACAAGGACATGCTATACTTACACATTATCACCTCTTACGATGTATAATCCCAGCACAACTTGCTCAACTCCTTGTGAAGAACTGAACACTCGTTCATGGCTTTCATCCAAAATCAAGTTAATGGTCTGATCAAAACCTTTGAGTGTTCCCTGAAAATAACATACAAAAATAAATCACTCCAGTTAACTCTTAAATTTATCATCTTTGCTCTCAAAGATATCTTAAACAAGGTAGCAAAACTAAGGTACTAGAGAACATATGTTCTATTTAGGTGTTATTATTTGGCTTAAACACTAACAGCTAAAGAAAGTAATTTTCAAAGCAATAATCAGTTTAAGAAAAGTACACATTTATTACTGAGTGTTCATGCTGAAAGCTAAAATAAGCTTTAGTATTAAAAGAAGTAAAGTTTCCCTTGTATCAATGACAGTCCTCTAGAAAACTATTTTTACTGTTTTTACAGTGTTTTAGTCTTCCTTGTATGGAAGTTTCCAGAAATCAAATATTTAATTAAAATAAAGAACAGAAAAACTGGATTCTTGTGGTCAACATTATTGAAACCATTCCTAATAAGCAATTTTAAGTGGTATCTCTGAAGTAAATTATCTTGTGTTTAGTAAATTAAAATCATCATGCTAATATTCACTTATATCATCTAACCACATAGCAATGAGTCACATGTACCAACTGCATTCAAATCTTTTTGGTACAAAGTATCTTGTAGCACAACACAAAGTTTATCAGACTGACTTCAGCCAGACAGATTTGGTGAAGCCAATAGTTTTTCCATTTTTCCAGAGGCTGCATGAAACTAAATACAGACAAAAAGATATAATCCTCATGCAACAATCACACTGTTAAGTTACACTCAGAACACATATGCATAAAGGGGGCGGGGGGGAAGTGATGCAAGAAAAAAAAAACCAGAACACAGAAGCAATAAAACCAAAATATTATACAGTCTAATATATAAGTTGGCCAATCCTCAGATTTTCAGGCATAAACAAATCCCACAGCAATTCTCCAGTCGATGTTTATGTATAACCACAGGGAAGAAATGGTTCTACCCTGACAGCAGAAAAGCTTACAAAACATAGAGGACATTTTAGATGGAAACCAAATTACTGAAGAGAAATGCACTTTCTTGTGCATTCCCACAGAAAAATTAATTTGACAAAAAAGTCAAAGCACGTGCAGACGCAAATTTATCAATGGACAAAGCTGACACGCAAGAACCAGTAAGCATTTACAACTTCTTTTTTTAAGCCTTATGGCCATTATTCTGTACTCTACGATTTAAAGGTGTGAATATGTAAGTGAGAATACCCTAAAACAGCTCCTTTATTGCCATGATGGAAAGTCTTTATGGGGGAAAATAAAACGTTAAAAAATACAAGTCTTACCACAATCATTCTTCCATCAGAAGTAATTACTGCAACAGTACCTGGTAGTTTCATTAAGGAAATGTTTAATAATATCTGAAATTACGATTTTCTGAGACATTAATATGTAATATAGGTTTTAAGAGCCATCAGGAGCCAGAAAAGCCTATCAGCATTTTTTTAAAAGCAGCATGGTTGATAGTAGCAATTGACAACGTAGTATTTTTATGAAAACCTTTAAAGTTTCACTTCACCTAACCACGGACAGTCATACACGAACATGAACACCATTAAAAGCAGAATAAAGATTTGAGTTCACCTCTCTTCCCATTACTAACTGCACTGCCTCAAAACTGCAACAACATGAACAGTTTTATAAACACTTCAGGTTCTTAAAAAACAGCTTTGCAGTGGTGATCTCGAGCCTAGCATTCTCCATTTCCATAATATTTCGTTATGCCAATATGATGACAACATATCCATCGCCCTGAGTAATTCCGGGTGACTATCTTACTCCTTGTGAATAAAACTTGAAAATGCCCACGGGTTGCAAGCAGCACAAAAAAAATCAGCACGAAAAGCGTTCCAAGAACCCCAAGTCGCGGCTTTTGGACAAGTGATGCAAGGCCGGTAACTGAAGGCGCGTTAGGGGCCCTTGAGGGGGGCAGGCCCACCGCGGATCTCGCTTCCACCGCGGACCGGCAGCGCTGCGCTCCGCAGCCCTGGGCGCTGCGGGGGGACCCTGTTCTCGGGGAAATCTCCTGTACCGCCGCCCTGCCTGCCGAGCCCATCTCCCGCACGGGCAAACCGGCACCGCCAGCCGGGAAGGGCCCGAGCACGCAACGGCGCTGCCGCCCCAGCCCCGCCCTCAGGGCCCCGCGCCCCCTCCCCTCCCCGTCCCGTCCCGTCCCGTCCGTCCCGTTCCGGCGCGGTGCTGCGCGGCCTGCGCGTTCGGGATGCGGTTGATGTAGTTCTCCAGCGCGGACGTCATGGCGGCACCCGCACGCGGATACACCCCGCGCGCACACACGGCGCGCGACGCTGACGCGCGAGCCGCCGCGCAGGCGCATAGCGAGGCGCCCGGGCAGCGCCGGGCCAAGTCTCGCGCACGGGGAGAGCGGGTGCGCATGCGCGGGGAAACAGGAGGAGGCCGGGCGGTACCAAGAGCGGGCGGCGAAAGGGGCGGGGCGGTTATCCTGCCTCACCCCCCCCAGCGGCACGTGGCACCGCCCGGGGGGCGACCCGCCGGCCCCTCACACAGCCCTGACAGCCCCGGCAGCCCTCACACAGCCCTGAGAGCCCCCACACAACCCTGAGAGCCCCTCACACAGCCCTGACAGCCCCTCACACAGCCCTGAGAGCCCCCACACAACCCTGACAGCCCCCACACAACCCTGACAGCCCCTCACACAGCCCTGAGAGCCCCCACACAGCCCTGAGAGCCCCCACACAACCCTGAGAGCCCTCACACAGCCCTGACAGCCCCTCACACAGCCCTGAGAGCCCCTCACAACCCTGACAGCCCCCACACAACCCTGAGAGCCCCTCACACAGCCCTGACAGCCCCCACACAACCCTGACAGCCCTCACACAGCCCTGACAGCCCCCACACAACCCTGACAGCCCCAACACAACCCTGAGAGCCCCTCACACAGCCCTGACAGCCCCTCACACAGCCCTGACAGCCCCGGCAGCCCTCACATAGCCCTGACAGCCCCCACACAACCCTGACAGCCCCTCACACAGCCCTGACAGCCCCTCACACAGGCCCGACAGCCCCTCACACAGCCCTGAGAGCCCCCATACAACCCTGACAGCCCCCACACAGCCCTGACAGCCCCCACACAACCCGAGGCCCTCACACAGCCCTGAGAGCCCCTCACACAGCCCTGACAGCCCCTCACACAGCCCTGACAGCCCCCACACAACCCTGACAGCCCCCACACAACCCGTTGGCCTCTCACACAGCCCTGACAGCCCCTCACATAGCCCTGACAGCCCCACACAACCCTGGCAGCCCTCACACAGCCCTGAGAGCCCCCATACAACCCTGACAGCCCCCACACAGCCCTGAGAGCCCCCTCACATAGCCCCGCCGGCCCCCACACAGCCCCGATAGCCCCGCCGGCCCCTCACACTGCCCCGCAGGCACCGCGGAGGGGCTTGGCCGGAGAGCGGTAGTTTGGCGTGGAGCGGGAGGGCCGTTCTCCTGTCCAGCCGAGGGCCTCGCTGCCCGGGTGCAGCGTTTGTGGTCGCCGGCGCATTGTCCACGTGACGAGTGGTGTCCCTCAGGGGCCGCTGCTGGGCTCTACACTTCAGCATATTTGTTGGCGACGTGGACTGTGGGATCGAGTTCACTCTTAACAAATCTGCTGGTGACACCAAGCTGTGTGGTGCAGTTGACATGCTGGTGGGAAGGGATGCCATCCAGAGGGACCTGGATAGGCTTGAGAGGTGTGGCCCTGTGAGCCTCATGAAATTCAATAAGACCATGTGCACGGTCCTGCACTTGGCTGAGGGCAATCCCAAACACACCTACAGGCTGGGCAGAGAAGTGGCTGAGACAAGCCCTGCAGGGAAAGACTTAGGGGTGATGGTTGATGAAAACTCACCATGAGCCAGCAGTGTGCACTCACAGCCCAGAAAGCCAGCCCAGTCCTGGGTTGCATCAAAAGCAGTATGGCCAGCAGGTCAAAGGAGGTGATTCTACCCGTCTGTTCTGCTCTGAGGAGACCCCACCTGGATACTGCATCCAGCTCTGGGGCCTCCAAGATAAGGAGGGCATGGAACTGTTGGAGCAAGTCTGGAGGAGGGCCATGAAGCTGATAAGAGGACTTGAGTACCTCCTCTGTAAAAACAGGCTGAGGAAGTTGAGGCTGTTCAGCTTGGAAAAGAGAAAGTTGTATGGAGACCTCATAGCAACCTTCCAGTACCTGAAGGGGGCCTGCAGGGAAGCTGCAGAGGGACTCTTCATCAGGAACTGTAGTGACAGGACAAGGACTAATGGGTACAAACTGAAAGAGGGGAAATTTAGCCTAGATATTAGGAAGAAACTCTTTATTGTGAGGGTGGTGAGATACCAGAAGAGGTTGCCCAGGAAGGTTGTGGATGCTCCAAACCTGGCAGTGTTCAAGGCCAGGTTGGATAGGGCCTTGAGCAACCAGTCTAGTGGGAGGTGTCCCTGCCTGTGGCAGGGTGTGTTGGGACTAAATGATCTTTAAGATCCCTTCCAACCCTTAAACTTTCTGTAATTCTTGCTAATATGGGAATCATGTGAATCCTCCCTTGGTTCCCTGTCGGCTGCCAGTGTGAGGTGGGCAGACAGGAGGCCTGACTGCTGCCCCTCCACAATGCCCCAATGTTGTGGTTTAACCCCAGGCAGCCACCAAGCCCCACACAGCCCCTCGCTCACTCCCCCACCAGTGAGATCAGAGGGAAAATTGGAACAGTAAAAGCTGGAAAACTTTTGGGTTGAGATAAAGATGGTTTAACAGGGAATGCAAAAATTGTACATGCAAACAAACAAACCAAGCAATTAATTCACCACTTCCCATGAACAAACAGGTGTTCAGCCATCTCAGTGAGAGCAGGGCCCCATCACACTGACTTGGGAAGACAAACACTATCACGCCAAACATCTCCCCCTTCTTCTTCCCCCCACTTTCTATCATCATGGCTGGGCTTCGCAAACGAAGATTTGAGAAGGGCTCTACCCATGTTTGCTACAAGCGCGCTGATGGCTAAAAAGGCCAATGCGAGATAGACAAGTCCGGTTGCAGAAGGCAAAGCAGAAAGACTCCCCAGGTGATACCGACGAGACGCGATTCTTTCTGCGTTGTCTTTTCTCCTCGAGAGTGATCCTGCGTGTGTTCTCAAAAGCAGCAGCAGCGTTATAGATGGTGTGTCTCCAGGCCTCCCGATTGGAGGCCAGGGTAGACCAATGGTGGTGATCAATATGGCCAAGGCTGAGGGATTGTTTCAGGCAGTGCTTGTATCTCCTCTTCGGGGCTCCTCTCTTGTGGCAGCCAGTGTATAGGAAATATTCTTTCAAAGTATAAAAACAGACAGCAGACTAATTCTAGTCCAGTATATTGTGAAATGAAATGTTACATGAATTCTTGATTAAAAAAAAATTTATTATAAGTTCACGACCTTCAGTGGACAGAAAATTAGCTTGGGACTTAGAATATGGAATTCCCATTTTTGTCAGTTTTTGGACGAGACAGGGAAAACATAATCTTTCTAAAGTTTTTCTGTCAGTAGAGTTAGTGATTTTGATGGGTTTTATAAAATGGTCTGACATAACATTAGGTCTGTGTAGAATCAGGAGATTAAATATGATAAAGCACTGAGTAGATATTCATAAGACAAAGCTCTCACAACTAACATTTTGAAAAAAATTGGTGGAAATTAACATTCAGATTTGTCTTGTTTTGTTTTATTTTTGTTATATTGATTTCCAGGCTTTCACCAGTGAATTTCACAAATCGTCATTCATTGAAATATTAAGAATGCATTTTTTAATACCTGGAAGGTATAATCAGGTGTTTAAGACAAAAGAAAAATTCAAAGTTTTCTAATCCCAGTTTTGTACAAGAAACACCAAATTACTTGACACAGATGAGGTACACTCCTTTGTTCTCTTTAACTGACAGAATGCTATAAAAAAAGGTCTCAGATCACACATCTCACACGCAGACACAAACGAGGCCTCATTCTCTGACTTCCATGTGTCTGCCTTTCAACTAGAAATGTTTTGTGGTCTTTTTTTTTATTTTAGTATTAAGAGCCTACTTAGAATTTAGATTGTCACTGCCAGTACTAGTGCAACTTCCTTTTATTTCAATAAAGACTCCAGGGACAAATTGCAAGAGGTCCAAACTGGGACTTGGTGTCTAGCCCATGGTTTAATTTCTGAAGGAAATACAATTTCTGGACAGTAGAATGCTATTGTTTATTCTCCTTCTAGTGTGCCAATTGTTTTATTGTACATTATAGCCATCAAAACTACAGGGAAAGCAAAATGAAGTCTTTTAAGGCAAATTAGATAGAAAAAAAAATTAATAGATGTTTCCTGGCACTTCTGAGGGTAATCACACCAAAGTAGTCTCTCAAGAACTTGTCTAATGGCTCAACCTCTATGAAAAACATGACGAGATATCAGAGAACATAAAATACTTTTGTAATTTGGCATGTTACATAATGCCTATACTCTTAAGCTTTTATTATAAAAGCTTCACTACTACCATTAACCATTACACCAGGACAGGAATAATTATTGTATCTTACATGTAAGAGGCTGAAGGTTTTGTGTGTGTGTGGTTTGATGTTTTCCTTTTCATACTCTTCCTTCTCCCTATAAAGAGACATTCTCAAAGGCCAAGAAAATGAGATCACTGGGATACAAGGATGTAGGCTGAAATCTTAAAATACTTGCACCACAACATTACCTCAGTATCTGATCCTGAGAATCTCTAATCTATCGGTTTATATTAATAGTGTCACAGTGTCCCTGAAAATAACAGAAGGGGTTGTGGTTTTTTACCTTTTGTTTGTTTGTTTGGTTGTTTTTTAATTTCATAAAGGAGGATTAAAACCCAAAGAGTAAGGCTTGGACTCCTGAAGTCAGGTGCTAGGCTTTGCCAAACCTGATGCTTAACAACATTCTGAGTATAGGGTTAGCACACTCAGTATAAAGGAACTCTTTTTAAAAAGAGAATTTCTGGTTTATCTACTCTTAGGCTTTCTCTGTCTTTTCCTGAAGGCAGGCAGCTGTGCCCTTCTTCTCACAGTCCTAATTGAGGTTCAGTCCTCTGTTTGAAACCACCACTGCTCTTACTCTCTTATAATAAAACAACCTCCCACATAGGAAGTGGAAAACTTTAATTTAATTTAATCCCCGCGCCTTTTTGGAAAAAAAAAATATTACCTGCACCTGCCCGCTCAATAGCAAGGCTTGGTAGATCGAGTTACAAACTGGGGGCACAATTTGCATAATGTTGTGGAAGCGCGTCCCTTGCAGAGAGCGCACGATGGATGCGTGCGGGAAGCGCCTGAGGCTGCGGGTGGGCTCTTGGCCAGCAGGGGGCGGCCTGCGCTGCCGAGCGCCGCGGGGCCCCGCGGGGCTGAGGGGAAAGGGGCGAGCGGCCCTGGCTGCCTTCAGCCTGAGCCGGGCACCTTGGCCGCCTTCACACAGAAAAATAATTAGTTTTCTAACGGAGGATGAGATGCGTTTCCCACTAAAGATGTCCCTTTTTTCTGCAATGCTGACAAAGTGAGCCCAGTGTGACTAACTCAGACACAGACGTTTCACAGGTTCACACTTAACATTAGGCCAGACACATTTTATTTTTGGCCATAGTTGTCAATATAACATTGCCATTGTAACATTCAGGATCAGAAACCTGTAGCGGGCAGCCCTTTGCCTGTTCCTTCCCCTCAACTGCTGCAGAGCTACTCTTGAGGACACACAAAGTAGTTGAATATGAGCATAATGCCCATTAAGCTCTCAGTCGAGGAAACAAAACACCTTTGTAAAAAGGTTTTCCCTTTCTCTTGTATTGTTTAGATATAGCTTACTTGATAATGACATTTACTTCTGTAATGAAAATCAGTTTATTTCTGCAATAGATTCTCCATACATTAAGGTTGCTATGGCAAATCATAGCTGTATGTTATGCTTTCTGCAGAATATGTAACCAATTAATCATGTCCTGGAGTGTCTGCACACTTTCCTGCTTCCTTAAAAGTCTGCCAGGGCAGGAAGAAAACCCTGCAATGACAGTTGTAAGGTTTATGTGCAAGCAGTTATTGTGTGTACAATAGTTACCAGCTAGCCTAAGGCTGGTGGAATGGATGAGTGAATGTTGTGTATATTCACACGCTGTATATTGCCTCTCCCAAACCCCAATAGCTTCTGGTGGCTTTGCTTTCTGTGGTTATTAAGAAGCAGCCTTGTTTTATAGAGCCAGCCATGCTGAAGGGTGAAATGGCCTTGTGACATTCTCGTAAGAAGTGAGGCTTGACCAGTACTGCTGTGCCATGGCATGTCCCTGTCAGATAAGAGGGAGAAATGTTGTGAGACCTACTCCTCAGGCTTCCTTGAAAGCTGAAAATCTAATATAATCACCTGGCTGTTGGAAGAGGAGCTGTAAGGAGTTCCTTGGAACAAAACCCCCTGAATTGGTAACATCTGTCAGCCAAGCAATTGCATCCCTTGGTTGCTGCTCAAGAAAAACATAGCATCTGAGGCAGGGAATAATGAAGTGGTACATGCCGAAGAAGAAGAATCGAAGTACATACTCCAGAAGAGAACTAAGCACCCCCAAATCCCCCACATTTAATTTACTTTATGTTTCTAACACTTTCTGGGACACAAAGTTTTAAATCTCTCTGATTTTCACCTACATGCCCAGAATGTTACTTCATAAAAGGAGCCTAACCCTTTAGCTTGCTTGTAGTTTATACACACCCAAGCTAGCTAAACATGATTGATTTCTCTTTTTGTGTTCAGGAAAAACACAAACATCCCTTCACCTCTGCTTTGTTTTTCTGAATCTGTAGAGACTCCAGGGTCCATTATCAGCAATGCAAGGACACAGATTTTATCTGGTAGTTGGAGAAAAGCAGCAAGACTTTGTCCAGCCTTGTTCACCTTATACATGACTAGATGCAACCAAGGTGAGATGTGTTTCACATATATTATTGTATCAAATGACGGTTTTGCAATGAAAAAACTGGAAAAGTATTATAAAAGGGTAACAGTTTGAAAATGGTTGTTACAGTGTAAGTTACAGTGCATTAGAAACAAATCTGTAGTGTGAAGTCTCAAAGTGCTTTTTATTTATCTTTAGAAACTCAGTGTTAACAAACACCTGCTCTAAATTTTGTTTGTTATGATAGCAACTGCTGCTATCATGGGAAACATTAAAAAAATAACTTCACTCAAAGAGCTCCTTTGTATGAGAAAGTGCATATTTTCCCCAGCAATTTTTGCTAAAATATGCAAAATGACATAGCAATCTTAATGACTATATCCCTACTTAATGTGTTAGCATAAAAAATAACTTTGCATGTTTCTGTTTGCAGAAAAACAAACTCTTTTCCATTTTTCCTCTTTGCGTATGGGGTTTTTTGGTTTTCTTCTTCTGTTTGTTTTTTCTTGTTTGTTTCTTTGTTATGATTTTTTTTAACAGAAGAAACCGATAATAGCTATAGAAGTTTGGCATCATTATCCCTTCAGATAATAATTTTAGGGAATGTTATGAACTATCGCCAGGAAAAATGCCATTGCTAATGGGTCATGTACCTACAACTACAAAATTACAGGGTAAATGGATTCTTGTTTTCAGTTGCTCTAAGCAGAACACTAAGACAATTCTGTTGTAGACAGAATAAATAATAAGCTTCAAGTAAGTGACATTTACTAGTACGTCATAGAATCATTCTTACAGTCACAGCTGAAATTGCATTTGCTAAATTGCTTTCACAGATCAGGCTTTTTCTTCTGATAGATTCCCTACTTCTCAAAGTATAATTAATCTTCCTGTAAAAGCACTGATCCTAATCTTTAGTCCTCGTTAAGATGACTAGATATTCCAGTTTTAATTATAAAGTCCTTTATCTTAATACTCTGCAGAGATGCCCATTTGACCCCATTCCACTTTTGTTTCGTTTCTCTGTGGCACATGATCATCATGTAAAAGGAATAGCACATGGTCAAAGGGCTCTGTACTAACATGCTGCCTGCTACCAGATATAATGTAGATTGTACTAAAAAAACCCCAATATATTTCTGCTCTGTAACTTATATTGCGTGATTATTTTTTGAAGTAGGTTATTCATTGTACCACAGAGCAGTCTTTTGGCACCAGGGCCTTCAAACCAATCACAGAAATGGAGAAAGAATATACTGCAGATTTGGTCCTGCCCAGAAGAGGTGTTGGAATCCTGCCTGATGGAAACATCAGTGAAAAATGATCAAAAGGAGGGAAAAATAAATAGGACAATCTACTTTCCTTTAACAGGCACTGTGTTTTGTCTGA